GGATGTGGCTTCGCAACACCTAAGCAGGATAAAGAAAGCAAGGAGTTAAATTCTAAACTCACGTTTCGATTTATAGCCAAACACATTTATGCCTCTAGTTTTGGCGGAGGGAGAAGGCTTCTCAGTGGTTCGAACATTTCTGCCCCATTTAGCAGAATTTTTTGACGTATTGGTCTCCTGGAATTCAAGGACACCACCGAAGCGAGTAGAGAAGGCAACCACATCATCAGCAGGTTTTGGCTTAGGCAAATCAGGTCCCCTAGAGGTGTAAGCGGTACAATCGCTGTCAACCTTAGAAGCATTCGAGGTGAGTGCCAAATGTATCTTATTCTGCTTTAGCCAATGCTCATACTTGTCCGTCTTGTAGGAGGCAGGTATCCAGACGCCGCTCTCCGTGCGGACTTTCTTCATGTTGGCAAGGCCACGAGCCACGTCAGCGCTTACAAAGCGTTTGCGCTTCCGATCCCAAACGGTGGCATTACGTTTGGTGTAAAGCCTAAAGCACAGGGTGGCCAGAGCATAACAAAAGGGTGACAAAAGAATAGATGCGTTATAAAGTGCCCTCCATGTTGCCCTGCCTGCACCATCAATTAAAATCGCATCAGTAAAATAACTATCTACATCTGTATGATCAGCGTCATGCCAGCTCTCAGCTTCCCCTTCATCAGGAAGTCATATTCTCTCCTATCGCTCAGCAAATCATGTTATTTCGAGCAATATCACCTTAGCATCATTTTTGGAAGCCAGACCTATGGAGTCTCCATACTAGTATAGCCGTGATCCCATGACGTCTTATGCCCGCGTCAACCTGAAACACAAATCCGATAGGCCTCAGTCGAATCTACAGGGCAAACCTTCTGTGATGATATGAAGACCAAGATGGTGTGGCCCCCGCTATGGTCGCAGTCTCATTCCGATTTATAGAAGCGGGTTGATCTCGTTGTCGCAACTTTGTCTTGCTGTCCGGGAGACTTAATAGAACGCACCTAGTCTGAAGTCTTCTGCCATAGTAGTTATCATAATTCCCAACATCAGACAGTGCACTTGGTACATTCTCATCCGGCGAAACGTTTGAGAATGTACCAAATCCAATATCTGATGCTGGGAATTATGATAATTACTATGACAGAGAGCTTCGAACTATGTACGTTCTACTAAGTCTCTCGTACAACAAGACCAAGTTGCGAGAACAAGATCAACCCACTTCTTCTGTGATGAGTTTATTTTCAGTGAGAAAATGGGGCATAATGAAGTCATTTGATCAGAATCAGGTGCGTTATACTCAGCTTGTAGCATATTTGCAATATAAAAGGTTCATATTTCGAAAGAGCAAAAGATAAAATTAAGAATGACTGGGTTTCTATGGATGTCCTGAGATAACGTTATTGTTGGAACTTTCATTTCGTATGAAAGTGTATGAAGAGATTCGTAGGTTGATCTCACAAGAAGAGGACGGTTGAATCGCGTTTTACTGTAGCTGTTTGGTCTTTATATGACGTTGAGATTGACGTAGTTCACGAGGCCTCTTCCCTCGTTTCTGGTGAAAAATAGCTGAGCTTTCGTCCATCATATGATGGATATCATCAGAGCTGGGACTCATTCCTGTAAACTTCTCAAGTTAACACTAAGACAAGAATACTATCCGGCTATATCTAACCTCCTATATAGTCTCGTTAAGGCAAATTTTTTAAAAATTCTGTTTTGCCTAAATGAGACTATATAAGCGGTAAGACAGAGCCGGATATTATTCTTGTCTTAGTGTTAACTTGAGAAGTTTGCAAGAATGAGTTCCAGCTCTGATTATATCCATCATATGATGGACGAAAGCTCAGCTCGTTTTCACCAGAAACGAGAGCGAAGGTCTCGTGAACTATGTCAATCTCAACGTCGTATAAAAACCAAACGGCTATAGTACAACGCGATTCAACCGTCCTCTCCTGGTGAGATCAACCTACGAATCTCTTGTTCATACACTTTCATACAAAATTAAAGTCCCAACAATAAGATAAAATGAATACACATCGACATAAGAGACTGTCGTTGCGAGAAAAATATGAAAAATAAATTAGTCCATCACATCAGGTTGACTACACTTATGAATAAAGTACTAACAGGAAGGCCTTCTCTTAGAGCTGATGGTTAAGTATTAATGAATAACGCTATCCTGTTTGGCGGAACTTCCGCAATAGTTGGATGCGCAATACTTTTATATGCTTAAAAGACTAATGAAATTACTTCTCTTTCGATTGAATATATGAAGACCAAGATGTCGTGGCCTCTGGTGTGGTCGCAGTCTCCTTTCGATTGATAGAAG